TAGTTCGAAACACTGTCGCTGGGCTGTTTGATGCCCGAGGGCCGACGTGTTTTCTTGCGCTTTGGCCAGATTTGCAGGCTCCTGTTGGCTCCAGGCCCTGTGGATGCTCCCCATCTTTGTGAGCTGCAGTGTGCCAAGCTTTCAAAGAACAGTCTGAGCTTGGGCTAGGGGGTGCTGAGGGTCCTGTTATCATCCTCCATGTCTGGGCCACTGTCCCTGGGGTTTTGCAGTGTGTTAAATAGAAGGTCCAGGTCCCGCTCCAACTTGGGGACATGCTCTGCTGTGTCCTGCACGAGTCCACAGCCTCCTCTAACACTTTGAACTTTCCCAGCCATGCCACAACTTTCTCCTTGATATTTGTTGGCCTGGTAATGGACGTCTTTCCTAATATCCATGGCCTCTGCTTCTTGGGCATTCCCATGTCAACGCCCTCCCCAGCCAGGTCCGGTCCATAGGTGGCATTGTTGCTGGCCTGTTGCTCAGAGGAGAAGCTCTGATACACCCAGTCAGAGTAGTTAACCATTGACTTGGCTTTGCATCTGGCCTGTATGGCACTGTCCTCCTGGTGGATGGGCTGGTTGGACAGGGAGCAGATCCAGATCTCGGCCACTTTGGCAGAAGCCTCCTGGATGCTGCTGCAGAGGCACAGCCCCTGGCCACCCTTCAGGGGTCGCTGCCACTTTGGCAGAAGTCTCCTTGATGCCCCTGGCCACCCTTCAGGGGTTGCTGCCTGACCTCAGCCATGTGGATGGCACCCACAGGGAGTGTCTTGTAGCTCCAGATGATATGGTTCTTAAAGCGCTTCCTCCAGTGCAACAGGACCTGTAGCTTGCTGCCTTCCCTCTTGAGGAAGTGGGGGTCCTGCAGTGATGTCAGCCCCAGGTCTGTCTCCAGTTGTCCACTAGGGAACAGCATACTCCCGTAGGATGTGCTTGGAGCCCTGCATCTTCACAGTGATCACCATTGATATAAGGTTGGAGCCCTGCATCTTCATGCCAATCACCATGGAGATGAGGTCCTTCTCCAGCTCTTTGAAGACCTCCATCTTCATTAAGGTCAGGTTGCACAAACTGGGCATGAACCTGAGGATGGTGCTGTCCAACTCCCGGTTAGCAAACAGGTTCTTGGGCATTGGTGTGTTGAGCCTGGGCACAGCGGTGGGGGAGCGGGAGGTGTGGAGACCAGGACTGTGGGCAGCAAGGTAGCTGCAGCTGCTTGCACCATACAGGTCCTTTCTGCATTTTGGGGAGATGGTTTCTCTTCCTGTGTTGGGACAGAGGAGGGACATTCCATCAGGGGCAGCTTATGAATTGCCAGGTGGGTTGGGGGCTGTAGTGCAGACTGAACCCGTAAGCACTCAGTGACTGTTGTCAGGAGGTGGGACACGAGTGACCCAAGGACAGTGTGTGTGAAAAGGGACCACATGCTCACTGAGTAGCTCAGGGAAGGCCTGTGTGGTGTTCTTGCAAACTCAGAGACCTAAAGTTATCACAAAGGATGTTCTGAAATGAAAACTTTTAAACTAAATGCAGTGTAAGGTGGGTAGTCATGTCCTAGGCTGGCATCTTCCCTGACAAAGGTCAATCTTGACCTTAACTGATCCTGTCTATTGCTTTTTGGCATCTACAGTAACATATAATTTGGAATGTCAAAGGAATTTCCTTTTTTCCGGACCCCTCAAAACATAGGCAATGCTCTGCGGAGACTACAAATCCCCTCATTGTTACTGAGTTAATTGTTGACTTGTAACTATCCTAAATCACATATAGGATGTAAAAGAAGTATGTCTGTGTCATTTTACTGTTTATCCAGTCACAGAGGATTTCCTACTTTGATTTCTCTGGGACCCTAATGTGTCACCACTGGATTTCATGTTACCACCATACAGCTCCTGTTTTGATTGTAATGTATGAAATACCGTGCAAAGCTGCCATTCTTCAGAGCATTGTCTCAATCCGCTGAGATTTTCTTCCCGCCAGTTGTTGACAGTGGGGCTTAAATAAACTCACAAAAATTCTTCACAAGTTTGAGTGTTTCTCACTTTGACATTTACTTGGTGTAGTGGGTCAGATTCCAAAAAAGCTCACCCAGGACCAACCTGTGGATCTGGTGCTAGGATTCAACAAAGGACCCATTGAACCACTGGTTCCCCACCCACTGGGTGAACCTGGGTGAATTGTGTTTTAAATCCAGGACTTTTCCCTTGCTGGTGGTAGAGGGTTATATTTTTTTCAGCTGTATTTTTAAATCCTCCAGGTAGAACTAAGATTAAGGGTTGATGGAACTTAGGTTAAGACAAGACAGTAGGAAAAAAATGGGTGGCTGGTGTTAAATTGTGGCTTTCCAATTGGAATTGCTTTCTGAGAATCTGAGCAAAAAAAACTGTTGCTGTATAAATTAGAGTTGAACTCAATCAGCTCCAAAAATACAGGGTCATGTCCTCCCTCCAGCCCGAGTATTAGGTATTCTTAGGGGACTAAGAATCTCTGTGGAGGTGTCAGGTCATTCCTCATGACGTGCAGGAGCCCCAATGCAAAATTTCAGCTCAACTGCAGTTAAAGTGACTGGTTCTGGTGGCGGGGGGTCTGGTGGGGGAGCACCCATTAGGTTTGGTCAGCCATTCCCTGAACCCTCTGTTTGTGTTAGACAGCAGGGAGATAAACCGAGGCACATCAGAGGGTTGAATGTGACTTGAGGGGTGAGAGCCTCATGGAGCTCAACCCATAAGCAACACATGTTGACCAACTACGTTATATAAAAATCCTAGAAAATTTGCTCAGATTCTGCAGATATCAGAAAGAAAAGAAAAACCACATTCACACACACACACACACACACAACTACAAAACAACAACAACAAAACACACCTCAAATTAACATGGGAAGCTGTTCCTCCAAGGCCAGGCGATGCCAGATCCCAGCCCTCACTAATACTAATAGGAAGCTTTTACTTGCAAGTGCTTTACAGAAATGGGAAGATTTAACTAGAAAATATCCACCTACAAATGGCCAAGATGCAGTTTTATTTGCGTTCCTAAATTAATTTTTGGCATGCTATAAAAATAAGAAAAATGCCAGGTCTAACATTAAACCGAATGAATGAATGGAAGCATATCTTGATTCGGAAATCAGGAGATTCTAAGGAGAAGCACAAATAAATTCTTTTAAAAGCAATTAAGGAGTTAGAAATTTTAGAGACTGTCTCTGAACTCTTGTGAAGCTAATAAATGCCAACACACCATTCTTCTGCTTTTTCTAGCTCCACCACTATATGCTTCGCCCTTTCCCATCCCTTCTTCCTTCCCCTTCAGTCCCCTTCACTACCCTTCCCTACTGGCTTCAGGGAAAATGAGAATAGGAATTCTAACAACTCCCTTTGGAGAAAAGCTTGTCTCAGCAAGAGAGGAACCAGCAACTGTTCCTGATTTTCTCAATGACCCTGATGGGTTCACAAAGACATTTAACTGTTAGAACATGTAATCCTGGCTATTCTAACCGATTCCAATTAATATAACTAATGGTTTCTGCCAGTAAATGCAACAGAATTTCTAAATAAGGCTTGAGAGAAAATTCCTGTAGAGAAGTCTGTCCACTGTTGGAATCATAGGAAAATGAAATAGGATGTAGAAAAAGTGGGGGGGAACCCCACAAAACAACCATAGCGTTGATCCAAGGGTATTTCCCCTTCTCACTGATAGTTTGGGAGCAGGTGAAATTATCAAGTTAGAGAAGCTACTAAGACCCCTGTAGATACTGGGGCTACTCTTTGTTCCTAACCACATCCAACAAATGGTCTTCTCCTTCAGAGTAAAGCTTCTGTGGAAATGGCAGGAGTATTTAACCAATGTCTGTTTTTAATCAAAACCTGTTTCCAACTAGGGAATGTTATAGCAATAGTAGCAATATCTATCTTCTATCTTTGCTAATAAAATCTGCCCCAATTCAACTGATAGGGAGAGGTGTTTTGTTTGTTTGTTTGTTTTATGAAATCAGTGATACCCACACATGCTTTTTCCAGAAGGGTAATATGTATTTAGAAATAAATGAACAAGATACCGAACCCAACAGAGCCTGAGATGAACCTAGCATTGTGCCGGCAAAGTTGGGGTTCTGGCTGCACCCAGGTTTCCTTGGGGGCTCTGGAAAAGGATCTGCTGGTGGAATCATGCACAGACATGGAGAGGCATAGGGGAGATGGTGAGCATTCAGCAGGTCAGATGAGCATTTGGCCAGTATTTGTCTGAAAAGGAGCCCAGAGTTGGAACCACATGCATGCACCTCTGTCCAATACCCACCCAAGGTGGAGGGAGCTGGGCCCTTTGTTCTGAGCTCAGGCTTATGCAGTTCTGAGCCCAACCCTCAATGGAAAATTGGGGAACTGATGTCCATGGAGTGGCAGATATTACCCAATGTCCACGACATTCAGAGCCCAGAGTTCAGGAATATTCAGGATTCCAGGCCAAGGCTCCCACCTCTCCAACAGAGTTGGTCTGGACATTAGGAATCTTGACATACTGGGCAGCTCCTGCCTGTTCCTCCGTATCTAGGGGTCAAGGGGCGCTTTGTTGTGGGACCCAGAAAGAGCACTAGCTATTATTTATGTATTTATGTATTTATTTATTTATTTTACTAAGAGGAATTTTCGTATTATTTTATTTTATTATAGTTTATAATATAACATATGTTTCCTTTTCCCCACATGGACCCCACCCCAGTCACTCCCACCCCCCCAGCACATGCCCCTACCCCCTCAGTGTCTGTGTGTATTGGTTCTGCTTATATGCATGCATACAAGTCCTTTGGTTGATCTCTTACTCTCCCCCCGACTCTCCTCTGCCTTCCTGCTGGGGTTTGAGGGTCTTCTCTGTCTCTGGATCTATTTTTGTTGATCAGTTTATGTTGTTCATTATGTTCCACAAATGAGTGAGATCATGTGATATTTATTTTTATCTGACCTAACGCACCCTGCACAATGCCGCTGCCCCCACTGACCACCAAGGATGTGACACTGGAGATGGTGATGGCCACACTGCCCAACTTTCATCAGGCTTCTCTCCAGATGTCCCTGACCTGGCAACTGGGCAGACGTCAGCCCCTTAGTGTGAGAGCTGGGTGGCCTGGTCCCTGAGGAAGGGGGCAGCTGTGGGGAGGTGTGGCGCTCCAACCTGGGGTTCATAAGGCTCTCAGCTGCTTTTCTCTCTCCATCTCAGGTGGCTCTGGGCCAGCATGAGGAGGAGTATTTTTCAGGCCCTGAGCCCAAGGCTGTGCTGAAGAAGTTCAGGGAGGAGCTGGCTGCCCTGGATAAGGAAATTGAGATCCGGAATGCAAACCTCTATATGCCCTACGAGTACTTGCGACCCAGCAGAGTGGAAAACAGTGTGGCCATATGAGCACACCCGGCCTGTGGTTGTCTCAGCATCTCTTCCCCCAACCCACAGCCCCATCCCTTAGAGCTTTCAGTCTTCCTCTCCCCAGCCAGGCCCCTTTCTCTCTCCACCCTCCATAGAGAGTCCCTTTTGCTTTGTATGTGTCCACAGTGAACACATTGCACTCTAGATGCACCACCTAGGGGCCTCATTTTCTCCTTATTCCTCCCACTTTTCCTATTGTCCTCCCTTCCTCCCTCATCACTGGGTTCTCCCAAAGGGCAGATAGTAGTCACACTTATATAAACGGTTTCACTGGACTAGGGCAATAATACATATTACTCCACATGTTTACAATTTTGAGTTTAACAATAAAAAAAGATATTTTAAACTAATGAAAGAAACGAAATTAGATAAAACTATCCTAAATCAAACACTGGCCAAAGAATATACAGTACGTCTTTTTAACTCAGTGGGATTTAACACGTCCTGAAGCCAGACACAACACAGGGCAGACCATGGACACGGCAATTCTCAAGATTTTCACTTTGTGGCTCACTTAGAAAACGACACGTGGAAGTAAAGTGGTTAAACCCAAGAAGCTGCTCCCAGCTGGAGGGATTTGGCCTTGGGCCTTCAGTCTGAGGGGTCCATACTTATAACCCATTTGCAGTTCACCAGCCTGGAGGCTCCAAATAAAAGTAATGAACTGGGAAGATAGTAAAAATTTCATGGTTATTTTAATGAGTGACAGCAAAGGAACCAATACATTCCAACTTCTGTATCTTATTAAATTTTAGAAAAATAAACTTGGAAGTTTTCTTCTTTTTTTCCAAATATATTTTTATTGATTTCAGAGAGGAAGCTGCCTCCTGCACACCCCCCACTGGGGATGGAGCCCACAATCCAGGCATGTGCCCTTGGCCGAAATTGAACTCGGGACCCTTCAGTCTGTAGGACAATGCTCCACTGAGCCAGACTAGCTAGGGGGGAAGTTTGTTTCTTAATATGATCATCTGTGGATATATATGTTTTAAACCTTTATTGTTGACAGTATTACAGATGTCCCTCTTTTTCTCTTCATTTTCCCCTCTGCCTGGTTCCCGCTTCACCCCAGGCCTTAATCACCCTATTCTGTGAAATGGATTATTTCCAATTTGTCAATACTACGTTTTCGACCTGGTGCAAGGCAATTTTATTTACTTTATTTTTATTTTATTTATTTATTTTTTCCGAGTCAATTTTTATAATGTGCTTTATGTGACTGAAAAAATTTATTTCCAGACCAAGCTCATGTGGCTCAGTGGATAAGTGTTGACTTATGAACTAGGAGGTCACAGTTCAATTCTCAGTCAGGGCACGTGCCCCAATTGTGGGCTCAATCCCCAATGGGGGATGGAAAGGAAGCAGCTGATCGATTATTCTCTCTTATCATTAATGTTTCTATCTCTCTCTCTCTCTCTCTCTCTCCCTTCCTCTCTGAAATCAATAAAAAAAATTTTTAAAAATTTACATTCCATGTTTTTTGGGAGCAGGGTTACATATTTCTCTGTTAGATCAATCTTTTAATTATGTGGTTCAAATGATCTTATTGCCTGATTTATTTGTTTCTGGTGAGTGCACTAAGCTCTTCTTCTGCATTTGGGTATTTATCAACATTTCCTAGTAACTCTTCCAGTTTTTACTCTATATATTTTGAGACAGGATATTTAGATGATAGAAGTTCATGGTTATTATATCTCTTTAGTGGAGTGTTGTTTTTTTAAATCATGATATATTGTACTTCTTTATTTCTCTTATTATTTTTTTTGCCTTAAATTTTGTCTCATATTAGTATTGCTTTCTTTTAATATTTGCCTGATCTTGTTTTTTTATTTTCTCTTTATTTCAAAATTTCTCTGTCATTTGTAAGCAACATGTAGTTGGATTTAAAAAATCTAAACTGGTAGTTTGTGCTTTAATGGATGTGTTTAACTGCTAACCTTTTTGTATGATTACTGCTGTACTGTGTCTACCAACTTATTTATGTTTTTCTTTACTTCTGTTTTCCTACTTTTAAACTGTCAATAGATGGTTAGTTGTTTTTTTTTATTCCTCCCTACTCCCGTTGACTTGGAAACTATAAAGTATTACTGTTCTTTTAGCAATGACCTTTATATTTTTGGCATTTCTATTTTGCTATTAATTTTTCTAAGAAAGTCAAAGGTTATTCACTATTTCTATTCTTTATCAGGTAGTATACTTTACTCACAGAACCCTCATGTCTTATGGTCTAGAAATTATTTTTATTCAGTAATTATACGGTAATTAAATAGAATTATTTAACAAACAAATTTGTCCATGTTTTAAAAATATATTTTATTGATTTTTTTTTTAACAGAGAGGAAGGGAGAGGGATAGAGAGTTAGAAACATCGATGAGAAACATCAATCAGCTTCCTCCTGCACACCCCCTACTGGGGATGTGCCTGCAACCAAGGTACATGCCCTTGACCAGAATTGAACCTGGGACCCTTCAATCCGCAGGCCGATGCTCTATCCACTGAGCCAAACCGGTTAGGGCTGTCCATGTGTTTTTACCAATTTCTGAGTTCACCTTTGTTTCTTGCATGACACTCATTTCCTTTGATTTTACTTCTTGTTGCTTAAGTACAATCCCCGCCCTTGTTTCATTTCTGTTTGCTTTGGTTTCACATTTCCTTATTGTTATGATTCATGTTATTTCTCCTTTATCCATGTGGACCCTATATAACCAGAGCAGTTGTTTGGTGGTTGCTCTATTACCCGACTTTGGCCTGGGTGAATTAGCCTCCTGAGAATTGGCTTTCTTTCTTAGTGTTAGACTTCCTCACGTCCTTTGGAACTTGGCTTTGTAGGATTATCTTGAATGGGAATCCCACCCATTTCCCCTGCACACATTCACCTTTATAGTCATCTCCAACAGCCACCGAGGCCCCCATCAAAGGACCTGGTCTCGATGGGTAGTTAAGGCTCCACTTCTCTGAGGGGATGGAAGAGGATGCACTTAAGAGCCTGGCTGGGTTTCCCAGGGCCTGGCTGAAAGGCTGCACCTCCCTACTTCCACCTTCCGAGTCACAGAGCTTCATGCGAACCCAACCCTGGGCCGGGGTGCATCACAGGTGTTTTTAACTCCTTTCTCAAGCATCTGCCAGGCCCAGTGAGTTTGAATCAAAACCCCTGCCATATGTGCGACACTTTTAGTCCCTTGTACCCCACGGGCTAGAGCTCCCGGCCAGCTCTGCCCGCCTCTTGGCACCAATCCCAGCACACCTGCAATTCAGCCAGCATCTCCTCTTGTTTTTTCTTATTCATTCTCACAATTTATGTTTTATCTATGAGTGCCATGGCTCAGAGGGAGAGCCCAAAGCATGAACTTCAAGTGCCATCTTGGCTGGAGGCTCCTGTACTGTTTAAACCATTTTCAGTTTCTTACAGAATATTATCACTTGCAACCTTAAACATCCTTAACTGATAGAAGCACCTATCTGATAAGGTTGTTTTAAAGATTACATGGGATTTTCCAATGTAAATGCTCTGTACACTGTCTGAAATAGAGAAAAGCTTTTAAAAAGCTATTGCTTTGATTGTTTTTATTATCTGCCCCCCCCCCCCCCCGACACACACAC